TACATACCTATGATTTATAAATTTGATATATAAATTAAGCGCAGGCAGAGATTAACAACATAACTACTAATAAAATAGAACAATTACAGCAATACACCATAATAAAAGTTACGTGAATGTGGTCTCTCTCTGAAAATACCTACTGTAGTCTATTTACCCATTTTCAGATCATGGTTGATTGTGGGTAACTGAAACCATGGGCAACAAAACTACAGATTAGAGGGAACTTCTATAGTCGTTATTTTAGGATGATGTCAGCTATTTATGCCCTGAATTAGATTTCAACCACTAGACTAGAATCAATCTTTTTTTCTTTTGTAATTGCAAGATGGCACATGCACTTTCCATGGTGGGGAGGGTGGAGAAAGCACCTCCTATTGGGTGTGGTTATGATGCAATATCTTTCCTCCATTTCTTCATCCCATCAATATTTGTGGCATGCACACACATGTTCCTGCCTTGGTTTACATGTCTCTTGGGCAGGAATTTGAATCATGGTCAGCCATGTGGACTATAGCTCCCTACAGACAGGATTTAACCACTGTGCTATTGGGCTGGCTCATAAAAGAGGAAAGGGGCTAATTTTGTTCATAGTTACACCTCAAAAGTTTAGTCTGATGACTGGAAAAGCATCAAATAATTCCATATATTTATTCATTGATGTTTTTCTCCCTTGGTCTGGTGATATTAGGTTCATTCATTCAATGAAGGTTTGTTTAGTTCCCAAAGTAACATAATGATGGACAATATAGACATAGCACCCGCTCTCAATGGTACAGACTTTATTTAGAGTTCTTACAACTCAGGTTCATTGTGATGGATTGATTAAATATGCTCCAGTTGGAACTGAGACTTAAAAGTACAACAATATAGCAATGCTCTAGGCTTATTCCTCTAGAAAAGAGAAAGAATGATTACCTGAACAGAAAAACTGAGCTCTGGGAAGTTAGGAAAGAGAGAAATATACCACATATGCCAATTGTTTTGTAACATGGCTCTTACAGTGATAACTTGGGTGTGGAGGGGATAAAATGAGACAGAGGACTCTAAAGAACTACTCAGCTCCTTGTGGTCTCCTATCTTCGTGTGTTATTGTGTTGCTTAAAGAAATCCCTGAGACTGGGTGATTTATACAGAATAGAGGTTTATTTGATTCATGATTGTGGTGGCTGAAAAGTCCAAAAGTGTGGATTGGTATCACAACATGGCTGAAAGAATCAGAGAGGATGGTGGATGTGTGTGGAGAGTGAGAGACCTGATAGCTGTCATCTAACTTTTTTAACAATCTGCTCTCCTAAGAACCAGCCTCTTTTTCTGAGAGCTAGAATTCACTCAGTTTTGCAGGAGACAACAGTAAGCTAATCATGAGGTCAATGCCTTCATGAGCTACTACTCATCATCTACTAGTCTCCATCCCTTCCAGAACCATTACACTGAGGACCAAATTCCGAAACATGAACTTTTGGGGACAAACCATTATCCAAACCATTATCCCCCAACCCCCAGAACTTCCTGACATTTATAATTGCTTTCCTCCTGGCCAGTTTGAGTACATCTCTCTGATGTCCTCTTTGTGACCAGCTAGGGAAATTACTCTGTTTTAGAGGATTTGATTAGGTTAAATCCAGCCATACAGACTCCCAATCTTAATTTTAATTGATCGTAGACCTTAATTAAATCTTCAAAATTCATTCACAGCAGTTTGCATAGATAAGCTTTTTTCCCCCTTAAATTTCTTCTTCTTCTTTTTTTTTTTTTTTTTTTTTTAACAGGGGGGTTGTCTCAACGGAGTCTGTGATTTTTTCC